TCAGACTTCTTTCAATTGCAATTTTTTGCCTGCCAATCCATTTCAAATTTCAATTCAACTCCCTGTCCTTCCAGTTTTGAAATGAATGACTGGACATGTGCTGTATTGCGGTTTGCAGCTCACCGTAGGTCTCAATGTGGTTACAGCAGCGCTCTACCACTCGGGGAACTTGTCTGTAGATGGGATTGAGACTGAGTTTGGCCTGTGTGTGACCGGCAGCCTTTTTCAGCTCCAGCTCATTAGGGTGAGAGAGCTGCAGAGCTTCAAGTAGTCTGGACTGACTCTCAACCATATCAGAGATGGAGTCCACAGACATCCCTCCCTGACAGAGAGAAAGAGGTGGGGAGAGAGACATCAAATATAGTTTAGATAGGATAGCCAATGGTCACAGATGAATGAAGGTTTGCGGCGTACGATAAATGTCAAAATGACAACATCAATTTCAGTGAAAGCCTGTTCCAATTACAATTCATTACTAAAAAGGATAAACACCTGAAACACTTTCACACTGGTCAGAAAAGAGCTCAAAGCCAGTGAGGAAAAATCTGAACACAATAAATCTATTTATGCTATGTATACAAAAGAAATGTAAACAGATTTCAATGAAAGCTTTTCAGATGTCAACACAATGACTGAATAACCCAGTAATCTGTTCTCATTCTCTCTCCATGTTTGGGTGGAGAGTATGGAGAGTTTGACTTGGCAAAGACACAGACGTAAATCTCATTCCCTCCTGCTGATATGTAGCCACCCATAGAGATGTTGTCTCCAGTCACACTGAGAGAGGTATGGAAATCACCCATACGGCATCAAACAATAACCTGAACCACGCTGACTGCTGCTACTGCTGTCTGACTCAGTCATAACAAACAGCCATTATTAATGTGGTGAAGAATACTATACTGTTCAAAGTATTGCCGAGCTCATTTTAATGACTTTCTGTTTTTTAAAAGGTACCTATTTATTGTATTCACTTGACTCTGATATCTGGGTTCTTGTACCTTTACCAAATTAAGTGGTCATAGCATATATTTTTAAGTCGAGTCACATTTATTTATATAGTGCAATCTTTATACAATAGAGATTGTTTTAAAGCATCTGTACAGTAATAAACTGGAAAATAACAATGTAAATGTTGTAAAGTTCAAGTATAAAGCACTTCAATTTCAGCTATGAGCAGTTCTACAGAAGACAATAGTGTTATTATTCAGCTTAATTAAGTTCAATGTTGATTCAGTTCTGTTCAGTGACAGTGTTGCAAAGTTAATAAATTCTGTTTAAAAAGTTTTTGCAGAAACAGACGTTTTGGTTTTGAATGATCATATGCTAGTAATAATCTTTGCTAAACATTCATCTTTTTAAAGCCTGCATGATCAGAAAATGATACAACGTAAATTAATTGATTGGTCATTTTAATGACATTTTTAATTTTAGTATTATAATTAAAATGAATTAGAATTGTATATTTTATTTATTTTTATTAAAATTCTTGAAATTAAATTTGTACATTATAACTTCTTAGCTACCATTTTCAGAGTATATATGTCTATTTTACAAAAAACAAGGAATAACTGATTTTTTGACTCCATACTCCATACAGCATTTCTGTCTTTTTTTTGTATTTCTGAATCAAGTTTATTCCTTACAGAGTAAATAAGATCAGTTCAGTGAATTATCTCCTTTTGCCTTTTTTTTTTGTTGTTGCTCAAATTGGTTTAGAAGCCTCAGCCAGGAGTTTATCTGTGCGATGTACCATATCAGCACTTGACCGTGGGGAATTCTTTGAATGAAATGATGCCAGGTTAGTGATAGCAATGAGTTTTTATTGGCTCTGATTTATATTTGCGTGGATAGTGCCCTCTTCTTTTGTTTGCTCACGTATGAGATGTCAGCAACGATCTCTCAAAGCAATAGCCCACACTTAACTGTGTTGTCATGTATAGCTGTCAGGCCTAACGTTATGCATGTGATGTTATGTGTAATGAATTGCAGATGTTTTTTGGGTTAGAAGTTCAACGTGACCTGGGTTCTGTGTTTTAATAATCAGCTCCTGATTACTAGATCAAAAGACCAAAATTATCTTAAATATACATACCACAGCTTTCAGAAGACAGTACTTTGTGATGAGGATGTTGGCATAGTTTTAAAGATAATATGCACTTACCCGTCTGTGTGTGCGTGAGGTGTTGTCCATGAACGCTGATGAGGGAGGTTTGCTGTGGGCCTCCAGTGCTGGTGAGGAGGCAGCATCAGGTGATAAGGCTGTATTGCCCAGCGGCCGGTTTGCATTGTGCTGCCATTTCTCGGCACGGAAGTGAAGAACACTGGCCTCCAGGTCCGTCCATGAACGCTGATGAGGGAGGTTTGCTGTGGGCCTCCAGTGCTGGTGAGGAGGCAGCATCAGGTGATAAGGCTGTATTGCCCAGCGGCCGGTTTGCATTGTGCTGCCATTTCTCGGCACGGAAGTGAAGAACACTGGCCTCCAGGTCCAGGCAGTCCCGTCGGCTCTCTTTCAGGGCATCCTGCCGTTGCTTGTATGCCCGGTCGTTTGCGATGACCTGGGCGAGCGGGATACCGAATGCTTTGGGCGCAGACTCTGTGGAAGAATCCAAACAGTTAGCAAACAAATGACCTTGACAGTAGGCTTATGGACTATTTAATTCATTTTAATTATATAGATAGATTTTGATATTTAGTGTCCATAGTTTCCAAAGCTTATATGTCACATACAGTGCGTGTCAACTTTTAAAATTTGTTTTTGGACTAGTTTTACACTACATTTCAGGAAGGGAGTGTGTGAAACATGTCAAACATTCTTTATTTCAGTAAAAAGTGACTCTGCAAATCATATCAAATGTCATCACAAAAACCTCAAACTCATTATCAGCCCACAAGTCCTATCCTATCCTATTTTTAGGTCAGTTTTGAGCTTTTGCATCCTAACTTGACTTCTTTCAGACTAGTGAAAAAGAAAAACACTCAAAATACACATTTTATTGTTTGTTTTATTTCACTTTATCTATTTGCGTATGTAGATTTAAATTACAATACATATCTTTAAAAGCGTTTTTTTTCTCCTGCACTTACAGAAATCTCTATTTCAATAACACTTACATATACTAAACATCCCGGTTTTATTATAAAATTTGTACTAACAATTGTCTAAATGTACTGTAATTAATCAACTGGGAAAGTATAGTGATATCTATTTTTTTTTTACCCTATTCACCTGTAATATGAAGAGACTTGGGGCCAGATTTTTCAAAACAGGGCAAATTAGCGATAGAAGAGAGAATACAGGTTGAGAGTGAGTAAATAATGACAGAATTTTCATTTTTACGTGAACTGTTCTTTTTAAGTGAATATTTGATTGTCTCCTGTGGCTTGTTTTTGTTTTTTAGATTGTAAATGATACTGCACTTCTAAGACCTATGGGCCACAAATCACGATGTCAATTTTTACATGACTTGAAAGTGTCATATAAAGACTATAATGTTTCAGACATATCTTCAGCTTTAATATGATCAGTATCTCAGTGCACTCTTCCTGTGCTGTTCAGTAAGTAATCTCATGTGTAGCTTCTGTTTGCTTTTCTCGTGCAAAGGAGGAAAACATCTTTATCTGCCCACAGGGATTAAATCTAGAGAGCTCTGTTCAACATATGGCACATCAACACACTGCTTAAACTTATTTGGAAATGTAAATAAATAAATGATAATGCAAAATGCTGTTTTTAAATGATGATTTAATTTATTAAGGGAAAAAAGCTGTCCAAACCTATCTGGCCCTACATGAAAAATTAATTGTCTCCTTCTATTAAATCATGAACGAACTGTGATTAACCACATTATTTTAGAGTGTAGCTTCTGTTTGCTTTTCTCGTGCAAAGGAGGAAAACATCTTTATCTGCCCACAGGGATTAAATCTAGAGAGCTCTGTTCAACATATGGCACATCAACACACTGCTTAAACTTATTTGGAAATGTAAATAAATAAATACATACATACAGTGCTGTGAAAAGGTTTTTGCCCCCTTCCTGTTTTTTAAATTTTTTGCATATCTGTCACACTTAAAAGATTCAGATCATCAAACAAATTGTAATATTATAACACAAGTAAATACAAAACAGTTTTTAAATGATGATTTAATTTATTAAGGGAAAAAAGCTGTCCAAACCTATCTGGCCCTACATGAAAAATTAATTGTCTCCTTCTATTAAATCATGAACGAACTGTGATTAACCACATTATTTTAGAAAGCTGAGTTAAATTTCACTAGCCACACCCAGGCCTGATTACTGCCAGACCTGTTGAATCAAGAAATCACTTAAATAGAACCTGTCTGACAAAGAGAAGCATGCTTAAAGAGCAACACATCATGCCACGATCTAAAGAAATTCAAGAACAGATGAGAAACAAAATAGTTTAAAATATTCTGTGGACTGATGCAACAAAAGTTGAACTTTTTGGAAGGTGTGTGTGTCCTGTTACATCTGACATAAAACCAACACAGCATTTCATAAAACGAACATCATATCAACAGTCAAACATGGTGGTGGTAGTGTGATGGTCTGGGGCTGTTTTGCAGCTTCAGGACCTGGACGACTTGCCATAATTGATGGAACCATGAATTCTGCACTCTATCAGAAAACCCTGAAGGAGAATGTCAAGCTGTCAGTTTGTGACGTCAAGCTCAAGCACACTTGGGTTATGCAGCAATAAAATGATCCCAAACACACCAGCAAGTCCACCTCTGAGTAGCTCAAGAAAAACAAAATTAAGGTTTTGGACTGGCCAAGTCAAAGTCCGTACTTAAATCCAATTGAGATGCTGTGGCATGAACTTAAACCGTCCATTCATGCTCGAAAACCCTCCAATGTGGCTGAATTAAAACAATTCTGCAAAGAAGAGTGGGCCAAAATTCCTCCACAGCGATGTGAAAGACTCATTGCCAGTTATCGCAAATGCTTGATTGCAGTTGTTGCTGCAAAGGGTGGCATGACAAGTTATTAGATTTAGAGGGCAATTACTTTTTCATGTAGTGCCAGGCAGGTTTGGACAGCTTTTTTCCCTTAATAAATGAAATAATTATTTCAAAACTGCATTTTGTATTAACTCGGGTTATCTTTGTGTATTATTAAAATTTGTTTGATGATCTGAACCATTCAAGTGTGACAAATATGCAAAAAAAAAAAAAACCGAGAAGGGGGCAAAAACTTTTTCACATCACTATACATACATACAACAAAAATAAATAAATACATTAAAAAACAAAGTACCAAAAATATATATAAACAACTGTTACCAGTTTGCCTCTCTTGTGTATAAGTAAGCCTCTTGGAGGGTTTACTTAACAGTTTACTTAATTAAATGATTTCAGAACTAGCCTAATTAAAACACGAGATGTATTAGCACCTTTAAGAAACTCTTCTACTGGATCTTACATGCTTTACATCAAAGAAAGGTTTATTTAACATATTCTTCTAAAGCAGCTTAAATGTAACTGAACTACTATTTATGTAGATGGGGAGGAACAAAGACATGATGTATACGTAAAATGCACACTTTTAAATAGCATCTTTATCACCCTAACAGGACTACAGTGAGGTTACGTCTAATCTGTTTTGGCTGTCAAAGCAACACAAAAGCAAAGCAGTCTTGTCATCCTCTCTCCTCCTTCTCCTCCTCACAATCCCTTTTCTCCTATCTCTGCCCCAGGGCTTAAAGGTCTAGTGGCGAGTCAGGTTAGTCTGGTCCCCTAGCTGCTAGTCCTCCGATAAGCTGGATGGATATGGGGATTGAGTCCTCTTTAAATAAATTCCTCCCTCTACCCTATCACCATCCACCCCTGCAGTCCTTCATTCAGCCCTCCCCGCCTGCTACCTCGAGCTGACGCACATGCTGGAAACAAGCGGCAGACTGTGGTTGCAGGTGGCAGGTGTTTGGCCGAGCTCCAGGAACATGGCCAAACAAATCCAACTGACTCAGGAATCAGTGCTGCTTTAGCTCCGGCAACTTTCGGAGCCGCTCTGAGATCAGTCTGAGCTCTTAGAGCAAAGTTAAATACTGATTCAGCACTAATGAGTTTATTATTATTTAAATGACTGTGTACAACACCCTATTTGGTTTCACTTTATTTTGATGGCCCCTTTAACACATTCTGATGACGATAAGTAACGTTGAACCTACATATCTACTAACTCTCATTAGAGTGTTAGTAGAGTGTTAGTAGACGGGTAGGGTTAGGGTTAGAATAAGCTGACATGTACTTGTAAAGTTACTTATAGTCAGTAGAATGTATGTTGGGATGCCATCACAATAAAGAGTTAGCAGATATTAATCAGACAGTACTTGTACTCTAATGAGAGTTTGTTGACATGTAGGTGCAAAGTTACTTATTGTCGACAGAATGCTCAAAAGGGACCATCAAAATAAAGTGTCCAATATTATAGTGTTCTCAACATATACTACTGAGCAAAAGTTTGAGGTCAGTAGATTTCTGTCAGGACCACTATCGTCAAAGATGATTGACAATCATTTTATGTACACATTTTAGAATTAGTCTGATTCAAGGAGACTCAGAAAGCTGAATCCCGACTGACAGAGGAGGAGTTGGGGATGGAGGAGGGTAATTAGCTATTGAGCAATGCGAAAACTGCTGATAATACTGAGGGACCTTATATATGAATGCTTAGATAGGTGTCGTATTCCCATAGGTAGATGGGGATCAGCTGAAGTTCAGCTGATGCGAGCTTGACTAACGTGACTTGCCAGAACTAACGCTACGCTTGATTTTTATTATTATTATTTATTTGTAGAAAGAAATTGCTACTTTTATTCAGTAAGGATGTATTAAATTTATTAAAAGTAAGAGTAAAGTATTTTTGGAATTTATATGCATCAAAGAATCCTGAAAAAATGCATCATGGTTTCCTCAAAAAAATTAAGCATTGTTTTCAACATTGATAATAATAAGAAATGTGCATATTATAATCTGCATATTGGAATGATTTCTGTAGGATCGTGATGCTGAAAATTCAGCTTTGCCATCACAGGAATAACTTGCATTTTTAAAATAGATTAAAATAGATTTTAAATTGTACTTTCACAATATTACTGTTTTACTATATTTTTGTTTGAATAAATACAGCCTTGGTAAGCATAAGACTTCTTTCAAAAACAATAAGAAATTGTACCATCCCTAAACTTTTGAACGGTGTAGTTACATCAAATATAAATGTGTAAATAAAACCCTAAAATACAGTTAAATCAATACAACTCTTAAGTCTTTGCTGAGTATCCTCACACAAACTGGGTCTACTGTTTACACATTATATAGTGTGAAGGAATGGTTTCAGAATTGTTTAGATTGTATCAGTATGTGAGTCATAGCTAGTATTTTAGCCTCTAAAATGATCCTACAAAAAGATCAAAACAAAGATGAATACACAATACATAGAAAACATGCATTCACAGGGATGCACAGATTGCAAAGAAGCAAAGCTACACGGGATGTAAAATTGTCTTGCGTCTTAAAGACTTAAAGCTTTATGTCTTAAAGGCGTATGGGAGATTTAAAAGAACTGTGACACACCAAGCAGCCCTGGCAACCAGAGTCAGAGGATCCACTGAGCGAACAGCCATTTATAAGTCTCTATTCTCTGTTCACCATCACTGTCCACCACCATCACCAAAGAACGGCGATTAGTAGTACAGTAGTAATGGTTTAACAATGACAATGTCATGAAGACAGAGTTACATAAGTTGACAAAAATATAAGTGGACATCTGGATGAAATCTGAAATGCAGTTTCATTATCATTTGTGTGTAGTTTAAAATCATCTAAAAGAGAATAGTTGAAGATCTGACATTTAAGTATATATGTCTTGTTGGTTGTTTGTTAAACAAAGATTACAAGACTGCATGTGCTCAGGAATGCTGCCTGACAAACACAGGGCATTTAAAGACAATCCAATTCATCACTCTCAACCCATTTTACTTCTATAATGTGACATTATTTAAAAGTAAAACGGGATATTCAACAAAAAATCGAAGGGTGGAAGTGGAACTTGATTTTATCTATCTTGAGAAGTGACAATTATGTAGAATGGAGCCAGGCTAGTTTACTAATGCAGTACCATAGCTACATGGCTGATAGTGGACCTTGGCAAAAATGGAAAGGTACTTCAGAGGAAGATCAAGTTATTCATTTTATTACATTCAAAAATGTTTACAAAGACAACTATGTTTTTTGAAAATGTAATTTTGTGAAACTTTTGCTATGTTTAAACTATTGCCTTTCTATAGTCATTTACACACAGGTTGCATGAGATCTAATGATATGTGAAAAATGAAATAAAAACATCTCTTACCTCGCTCTTTCTTTTCTTTTGAGAAGGAGTCAAACTTTCTCCGTAGTGATTTCCTCCTCTTACGAATCTCTGGAGAAAAAAAAAAACAGGATTATGGTTGCTTTTGTGTATAGATCTATAAAATACATACATACACACATACACACATATATATATATATATATATATATATATATATATATATATATATATATAT